TATATATATATGGGTAAAGAAGGGAAGTTTTGGCGTAACTGATAAGGTTGCTGCCATGTGACTAGGATATTACGTGGTTGGGTCGTGGAAACAGTCTCTTGTAGAAATGGCCCTTCTCCGAACCCCGCATAGCGGGAGCTTAGTGAATCGGGTTGCTCTTTTATCTTTTATAATTTGACCATGTGTGATTATTTAAAATATGGCCACAGCCCACATGCTCAATGTATTAGTCAACAAGCTATCTAACAAGCTTAGTTTTCCTAATTCCTTGAAATTAAAGCATCTTTAAAATCGGCGATCAGTCCTACAAATTGATTAGTCATTGTAATATGGTGCTATATGCTTGCACTTGTCAATTTTTATTGAAGTTAATGATTAAACCGCTGCGAAAGAACCATCATGCAGTCTCTTTTAATTTTGTCAAGTTCTGATTTAGATGGATATACAGTTTTTGCATGTCAAAATATACTAATATACTATTATACAATATCTGTATTCTTTTACACCACTCCAAAGTTTGTTCTACAACTACAGTTGGTCTAACCAAAGATAACTTAGAATCAAGCTATTCTCTTCTTCACCTTTCTCTTCAACGTTATACCTTTAATTTTTTATTTCACCAAATCACCGGCAAACATCTATATATACATGACTTCCATACACTTATAGAATAACAGCAGAAAAATAAGTTTACAAAGAAAGAAAAAGCAAAGAGATTTTCTATGCAAAAAATGGGTGCTATTGGACTATTTCTTGTCTCTCTGATGATTGCGTCATGTTTACTGCCTAGCGTTTCAGCTGCAACCAGGCACTATAAGTTTGAAGTATGTATATTATTACACAATCTCCTCTTTTATATCATTGGATTTAGTTTATACATTATAAGATTTTATATTACTAGTGCATGTTAACCTGTTATAGCAGGTTACCAGCCTTAATTAATTAGTTATATTTCAATATAAATATTTTTTAAGCGACCTGGTAGTGTTAAAATTCTTCTATACGCATGTATTGTTTTATGTCTAGAATTAGCATAACTTAGACCATGTTTTTCATCTCTTTGGGTTAAATTCAGATCAAAATGCAAAATGTGACAAGATTATGCCACACCAAGAGTATGGTGACAGTAAATGGACAGTTCCCTGGACCTAGAATTGTGGCAAGGGAAGGTGATCGTCTTGAAATTGAGGTGGTCAATCATGTTCAGAACAACATCTCCATCCATTGGTAATCATAAGAATTCCATTATTTTCATGATTTAATTTATAGCGTTGAACAACCGATTAATATTTCACGATTAAGGGTGTCTTCTTCTTACAAATTAACTTTACTCCAAAGCTTAACTATATATTTGCTCCTACAATAGGCATGGAATTAGACAGCTTCGTAGTGGATGGGCAGATGGACCAGCATATATAACACAATGTCCCATTCAAACTGGCCAGAGTTATGTCTATAACTTCACTATAATTGGCCAAAGAGGAACATTTTGGTGGCATGCACATATTTCATGGTTGAGATCAACTGTTTATGGTCCTATAATCATTCTTCCTAAGAAAAATACTCCTTATCCATTTGCCAAACCCTACAAAGAAATTCCCATCATCTTTGGTAATAAGCGATCATTAATTAATTTGAATATAGGAAGTTATTAAAATACTAATGATGAACTGATGAATACAATATGTCACAGGAGAATGGTTCAATACAGATACTGAGGCCATAATTTCCCAAGCTTTGCAAACAGGTGGAGGTCCTAATGTTTCTGATGCCTATACTATCAATGGACTTCCTGGCCCTTTGTACAATTGTTCAGCCAAAGGTAGTAAACTTCATTTTGTACCATTACCATGCTATTGTTAAATATATTCTGTAATCCTTTCCAAAATGAATAACATAATTTGGAGTATATACACAAAGTCAAATTTATATTTCGGAAAATAAAATTTGTCATCGATTGGATACTGTTTTTAATTAAGGTAACAGTTAAATGAAATTTCATACAATCA